GTTTAGGGTTTAGGGTCATGGGTTGACGGCTGCAGCCTCGTAGCCCTAACCCGGAACCCTAAAGCCAAAGCCAGTGACCTTCAAGCCTGAATCAACACGCTGAACCTGGATCCTGCACAAGACCTTAAAACTCGCAAAACCCCTACTTAAAGAATCATGGGACTTAGTAAGTAGAGCTATAACTAAGGTAGCTATACTTATAACCCCAATTAGGGGACTTATAACCTTGCTTACTAAGTCCCATGATCCTCCAAGTAAGCCCTAAACTAAACCGACAAGCCGTCCTGAACCCCAAGTAGCCTTTAGCCTCGGCTGAGAAAGGGAATTCACAGGGCTGAAGCTCCGGGATTCCGGAGCTGGGGTTTCGGCATTGGAGTGTCGGATTTCGGGTTTGGCCGAGCAATCAATCCGATGCGTTCAAGACCCAAGCCCTGAAAGCAGCAAATCATCGTAACATTAACTTATCGGTTTAGGGTTTAGGGTCTATGATCTGTAAATTGTTCAGGGTTGAGGGGTCTGATCTTGTCAGCCTCGACAGTCGCAATATGCCGATCGTCCAAGCCGCTGTATCTGCATATATGTTGGAAAACCCTACAGTCTGATCTTAGGGGTTGGTGAGTGTATACGAGGAGTTTCCGTGCGTGTGTTTGTTGGGTCTTATGTTGGGGATATTAGTAAAGCGAACCCCTACAACCTAAACCCCAAGCCCTAATCACAAACCCTAAACAAGCCCCCTCAAGGAAGCCTTAGAGTACCCTGAATGGTCGCCCCTTCAATTTGGAGTGTGCCGTCCAGGTCGTTCGCCGAAGCGCCAGGTGGATCGTGTTTGGCGTTGGGGTGTGGGTGTTGTGATCCTTATATGGGAGTTTCCGAAAGTTAGGGTACCTTATTTTGGGGTCCTTATAATAAGGGTCCTACTATTTAGGGTACTATATTAGAGTCCCCTGTTTTCGGAAACTCTCATATACGGCTCAGGGATTAGCCTTCAGGGCAGTAGGGAATGAAGGTTCGGGTCTTAGGGTGTTGGGGTTGGAGGGTTTGGGGGTTTTGGGTGAAGGGTTCGGGTCCAGAGTCTTCCAAACCCTTTACTAAAAGAATATGCTTGCACTGGAGATGCACCTACAACTTAAGGCATCTTGTTGATGGGAATGCTGAGAAATAATGCTACAGAGCCACTCTAAACGGTCTCAGGTCGGCTTGTTCTACTAAGCCTACTAAGCGTGGTGCAGGTAGACAAGGGCCATGCGGACGGTGGCAAGGACCGGTTGTTCGGGCTTCTTCGGGAACCTTGCATCCCAAACCCTAAGCTAGTCGGTTCAGGCTGCTGGGGTTTGGATCTCTGGGATGTCTCAGTGATGATTGTTGGAGCAGCTTGTCGGACTCATGAAAGCCTACAGTAGAAGCCCGAAAGTTGGAACATCATTATCCTCATGCCCTTAAAGCAAAGTATATGGGATCCTAGCACTAATCCTCCTAAACCCATGTTCCAACTTTCTGGCTTCTATTGTATATGGACTTCAGGCCTTGTCGTTCAGGGCGAGTTTAGGGGCCTTGGTCCAGGGTGCTACTTGTCACCGGGTCGCTGAGCGTGACCGCGCCATTTTGAGTTTGGGCCGTCGGGAGGTTGACATGTCGCCCTTCCTGCAAGGGTGTGCGCTGGTAGCCCACCCAAAAGCAGCAAAGCCCACAACCCTCAAGCTTGAAACCTAAATCCTTCGCCCTTTTAAGGCTATAAGTTGCTCCAAAGCCTAAATCCGAAAAGCTGAACTGAAGCTTGATCCTGATTCTTCTAGGATCTAACAGACAAGCTGGGTGACTTTGGCGACAGCTTTGGCACGCAGTTCTGCTGGGCTGGCATGCATGGAGGCCCGTCAGTGCTACCGCTCTTTACTATGGTATTATACTATACTGTACTTCTAGATCGATCTACAGATTACGGCTGTACTTATGAGGGGTTCATACGGATTCGGATTCTGGGCCTCCCGGTGGGTGTGTACGGATGTCATTCTGGCCTTGATCCGTCGCAGAGTTTTGGGTACTTGCCAGGACCCTACCCTTGACCCCTAACCGCAACAAAAGAGCCATATCCACTTTCAGGGACCTGTTCTGGGGCGCGAAACCCTAAAGTTAGGGCTTGTAGTGGGATGGGATTTTGGTTTAGGGTTTAAGGTTTAGGGTTGGTGGTTTAGGGTTTTAGGTTTAGGGTTGGGCGTTTAGCGGCGTAGGGTTTAGGGTTTAGGGTTCAGGTGAAGTCGACTTCGTCTGGGGCTGTTGAACAGTTCGATACGCACGAATGAATGCCGCCCGTACGGTTTCAGACACTCCTCGGGCTAGGCTTGCGTCCACGACCTTGGCTCACGAGTCTTCCAACCTACCAGGGCCCTGCAAGTGCCCTTATTGTGGTCCTTGTAAACCCTAAACCCTAAATCCTTCATAGTGCGTATTTATGGAGTTTGGGGTATAATGGAGGGGTAGTTGGGGGGTCTAGTTAAGTCGCCAAACTCCCGCTCCCCAACCCTAAACCCGGTAAAACCCCTAAACCCCCTAAACCCCTAAACCCCTAAACCCTAAACCCCTAAACCCTAAATCCTAACCCCTAAGCCCCTAAACCCTAAATCCTAACCCCTACCCACTAAACCCCAAACTCAGATCAAAAACCTGCCTGCAGGCATGAACGGGACCGGACTGCGACCAAGATGGAAGGACAATCCGAGGCACCTGGGGTTTAGGGTTTAGGGTTTAGGGTCACTCGCACTAGGGTTCAGGGATTGCGATTTCGAGCATGTTGCGCTATTCAGACTTCTGCTCCTTGCAGGGCAGTTATGAAGCTGTCTTGGCGGCGGTAGCATGTCTGCCTGTGCGAAAAACGAAGGCACTAGGCATACATCTGTAATTATTTGTTCATGTGTTATTTTTATGCCAAATCTTTAATTGCTGAGCAGCAGTTGTGTGATGCTGGTGTCTTGTTTGTTTCATCACGTTCCGAAAACCCTAAACCCCAAGCGCCAAACCCCAAAACACCCAGCTGAACTTGGCCCTGTACCCTACATGCCCGAAGCTTGGCTGCTGGTAGGGTCGGATCCAGGTTGCCCATACCTTAGACCCTAACCCTAAACTGCCCTAAACCCTAAAACCCTAAATCCTGAACCCTAAACCTTCAAACCCTGACCCTAAACCCTCAACCCTGACCCGCCCTAAACACCAAACCCTAAACCCTAAACCCTGAACCCTAAACCCTAAAACCCTAAACCCAAAACCCTCAACCCTGACCCTAAGAACAGAAGGCCCCAAACCGAGAAGCCCTGGTTGATACCCACAGCACTGAAATTTAACGCCCTAGCCCTTGAAATCGCCTTTAAAGAGCGGTTTAGGGTTTAGGGTTTAGGGCCTAGCTTCGAGACTTCAAGCTTTAGCACGCTGAAAATGCTGTAGGCTTGAGAAATTTGAGACAGCTTCCAGGCTGCCTCAGCTTGTTGGCAAGCCGGCGACGGATGACCTCCACACACCTTGCTTCGTGCGCCACGCATACAGGAGGGGGCCTGTGAGGGTTTTGGGTTTAGGCTTTAGGGCTTTAGGGCTTTAGGGTTTTAGGGTTTAGGGTTTAGGGTTGAAGGGGTTGGGGTGAGGGCGAGGGCTCCGTGCTTCGATGGATACAGTTTGTGCAAAGTTTGGGCCTGAGGGTTATATTGGCGGGGCGGCGTAGGGCTCGCAAATGGCCCAAGTTGATAGTTCCTTCGGATGAGTGAAATTTCACGCTCTAACCTAGTATAGGGGCCTTAACGATTCGAATAGGGTTTTGGGGGCCCCTTATACTATGATAACAATAATAAGGAACCCCTGAAACCCTATTCTAATTATTAAGGCCCCTACATGAAGTGTCGTTGTCTTCCAGCTTGCGGGTTTTGACATTGCTGACCTCGCCCTTACAAGTCACAACAGTCGTGGAGCCCCTACAGAATTTAGGGTTTAGGGTTTAGGGTTTAGGGACCCCAGCCCAGAAATCGGCACGATGGGTCGACAGGGCTTGGAGATAGTAACTCTGAAGGCAATTCCTTCTAAAGTAGATGGCCTTCGTAAAGGTTCACGGTTTGAGGGTCTTTTCTTTGGACGCAACAACGTCGAAGTTTGCAAGCAGAGTCGTGGCTCGCAAGTGCACCCCCATGGTGTGAGGAGTAAGAGCTACACCGCTTCTATCCTGAATCCTAAACCATGCCAAACCCCTAATCCCGTGATGCGAAGTCTGCACCATGAATCGCTTGCAGGCATGGCACGGTGACTGTGGGCCCACCCTACAGAGTCACGGAGGCAAGGACGAGCAAAGCAAAGAAGAGCACATTATAATTGTTAAGTTCACTCAGGGTTCTGATCGTTCCCGCAAGCTACGCCAGGGAGTCAGCAGGTTTGCACTTTTTCCTTTACCCATGAGTTGGTATAATACAGGCAGTAGCGTGTTGTGAATCCCCGCGTGAGAGCCCACAATGATGCTTCGTTTAAGGTACTTAGCTCTCAACTGACAGTGCATCAGAGTCTCACTCACCATGGCTTCGGGGCTCTAATGCTTAAGAATATTGTAACTTTCAGGGTCTAGTAACCCTAACCCTAAACCCTAAATAAACCCTAAACCCTAAACCCTAAGGGTTTGGGGCTTTCGAGGTTTAGGGGTGTGGGGCTCTGCCATGCTCCAATCAAGTTAGGGCTCTTTCAGACGCCCCATGTGAGAACACATGGGTAATTCTCTAAACTAGGGTCCTTTTTGGAGTCCTTTGTATAAGGGTGCCGTACTATACTGGGGTCCTAAAAACGGGACCCTCATTTCGAGAACACATTGGCCCAACACCTAGATGCAAAACATGCATCGGGCCGAGCCCGCTTGCGGCTGAAGTCGTGTCACGAATACCCCCTAGACTGTAGACTGGCCAGAAAAACCCTACACCCTAAACGCTAACTTATCTCGGAACCATCTTTTGCTGGAAGGTCGCCGACCCAAAAGCTCAACCCAGAAACCTAGGGCGTGAAATCTTCAAGCCCAAGCCGGTCCTGATTGAACCCTAAACCCTAAACCTAAATCTTAACCATACCCTAAAACCCAAACCCTACATCCTAAATCCTAAACCATACCCTAAAACCCTAAACTCTAACCCCTAACCCCCAAACCCCTAAACCCTATAGATGCCCTTAAAGGAACCCCAGTACCATGGCCCCCTGCAGACCATGGACAAGACTTCGCCTGCCTGGTGCGCTGCGAAGATGCTGGACACCGCTGGCAAGCATGAGTGCGTTTGCCAGCTCAGGGATTTTGAAAAAACCCTAAACCCTAAACCGAGTCCGGGTCGCTGTGGGAGTGCGCTTTTTTTGTTGTTGTTATGGCTTCTAGAATCTTTAACGTTACCGTTATCGAATCGGCCCTGGCCCGTTCTGTTTGAAAAAGGGGCCTAAATAATGACCTATACTATTTTGGGGGTTCCTTATAACTTATAGTACAAAGTATATAGTTACCTATGCGAATTTGGGGCCTCCTTTTAACTATAGTTTGGCATACCCCCGAAAACCCTACTCTAATTATTAAGGCTCCTACATTACCCAGAAACCCTAAACCTCAACCTAAAACGTGGGCGTTAGGAAGCCCCGAAACCCCAAACCCTATAACTCTATACATCCTGAAGCCTATACCCTCCAGAACCCTCATCCCTCATATCCAGACGGCAGGATGCTTCCATCGAAAAGGCGGACTGGGTCCGGCCACTGGGCAAAGTTTCGTCGGATGGTTTGGTGGGGGGGGCGAACCCAGAGACTCCAACATTCGTTAGTTAAGGAGTAGGAGTAGACAATAAACTCTTATAGTTCAGACACCCTGCTCACATGATTTAAGCTACGTTCCTTGAGGAAGGGGTTTCGGAGTCTCTGGGAATTGTAATTGCAGGGCTCAGATTGTAGGATTTTAGGGTTTAGGATCGGGGTTGTAGTGTTTGGGGCTTAGGGCCTTAGGGTTGCGAGGTGTGGTTTTTAGGACCTGTTGTTCTCTCGGCTGGATGTTCTAGGTATGCACTGTACTGCTTATAACGAACCCTAAGGACAAATCTTGGCAAGTATCCGACGTCTCTGTTAACTCAAAGACTCCAGTATACCCGGACCAGCGGGCCCGCATCAGGATTTCACCAGAGCGTCCATGAACCTATATAGTAGTAGACACTTTTCGAAACCCTAAACCCCTAAACCCTAAACCCCCAAACCCCAAGCCTTAATTCCCTTGAGTACACTAAAGCCCTTAGCGTCAGGTCGTAAACACAAAAGACCGACACCTCCACAGTCCCAAGACCTTACAGCAATCTTCAAACGACCGGCTCATTCAATGTTCATTCCGACATATCTCAAGGTGTCCGGCCTGAGACTCAGAAAAACGTTGGGGGTCTCCACTGCGAATCAGCATGGCGCGTGCGGTCGAACAGGAATGCCAGCAAGATCCTGAAAGAGCCTAAACCCCAAAACCCTCAAATCCTACAAACCTTAAACAAGCATTAAACAAGCAACCCTAAACCCTAAACCCTAAACCCAAAACCCCAAACCCTTACCCTTCAACACTAAGCCAAGGACCTACAGCAAGATCCTGAAAGAGCCCTCAAATCCTATAAACCTTAAACAAGCAACCCTAAACCCTAAACCCTAAACCCCTAAACCTGAAAACCCGAAGCCAAGGACCTACAGCAAGATCCTGAAAGAGCGCGATCCGAAGTTGGGTCCGGATGTCAACATCCGGGTGGCTTCCAGGAGCTTTTCTCTTCCCAAGGCCTGGGTTTTGGGGTTTATATCGGGGCCTTACGCTTTTTGAGAAAAAGGTTTAGGGTTTAGGGGCTTAGGGTTTAGGGGTTCAGGGTTTAGGGTTTAGGGGTTCAGGGGATTAGGGTTGAGGGTTTAGGGTTCAGGGTTTAGGGGTTTAGGGTTAGAATGAACGGGGTTCTGTAGTACAGGGGCCTTAAGAAGTAGAAAAGGGTTTTGGGCTCCTTGGTGGTATACGTAGAATAAGGAGCCCTAAGAATATCATTGGCAATTAGTTGGGCTTCTACATTATTAGTGGTTGGGGATTTGGGAGTTGGGGTTTAGGGTGTAGGGACTCCGGACTTGGGGTTTAAGGTTGAGAGTTTTGGGGTCCACGGTTTTTGGGTTTAGGGGGTTTTGCGTTCCAGGGTGTGGGTGTTTAGGGTTTGGGCTTTTGGGGTGTAGGCGTTTGGGTGACTTTGTGAATATGGTTTTGGGTCAGGGTTCGAGGGCTTTACAGGCAGTGCCCTAAACCCTGAACCCCAAACCCTAAACCCCTAAACCCCCAAACCCTTAACCCCCCAACCCTAAACCCCTAAAGCCTGAACCCTAAAGCCCGAAAGTACCCTTTAAAGGAAGCCTAGGGTCCCTATAGTACCCTTTAGAGGAACCCCTAAACCCTAAACCCTCAAGCCATGTGTAGGTCGCTACGCGCGCGAAGCCACGGGCCCGGCCGCCAGCACGGTCGGCGAGTGAAGACCGGGCCGATGGCAAGAAGGAGAGGGGTTCAGGTCGCAGTTTAGGGGTTTAGGGTTTAAGGTTGTAGGGTTTAGGGTTTGGGGGTTAGGGTTTTGGGGTTTAGGGCTTAGGGTTTTGGGTATAGGATTTGGGGTTGGGGGTTAAGGGTTTAGGGTTTAGGCCCCCTACACCCGGAACCCTGTATCCCCAGACCTTCAACCTTAAATCCCAAAGTCTAGGCCTTATACTATGATAAACCCGAAACCCGCACCCTTAAACCCCAAAGCCTAAACCCTAAACCCTCAACCTTAGGGTCTAAACCCTAAACCCTAAAACCCTAAACCCTAAACCCTTAAACCCTAAACCCTAAACCCTTAACCTTAAACCCCAAAACCTGGCATCACAGAAGTCCTCAGCTCGCCTCGGTTCAAGGCCCGAGCAGATCTCTCGAAGGAAGGCTGATGCAACTCTTAGGGCGTAGGGTTTAGGAGTTCAGGGTTCCTTTAAAGGGTACTATAGGGATCCTAGGCTTCCTTTAAAGGGTACTATAGGGCTTTAGGGTTTAGGAGCTTAGGGTTTAGGAGTTTAGGATTTAGGGTTTAGGGATTTAGGGTTTAGGGGTTAGGGGTTTAGGGGTTTGGGGTTTTAGGGGTTTTGGGTTTTAGGGGGTTGGGGTTCTAGGGGTTTGGGGTTTAGGGGTTCAGGGTTCAGGGTTGAGGGGTTCAGGGTGTAGGGATGTCAAGGGTTTAGGGCTTTTGGGGTTTAGGGTTTTGGGGTTCAGGGTTTAGGGATGTTTAAGGGTCTAGGGCTTAAGGGTTTAGGGTTTACGGGTTTAGGGATGTTTACGGGTTAAGGGCTTCAGGGGTTTAGGGGTTTGGGGTGGTTCGGGGGCTTTGGGATACGATGTGCCGCCACAAGTCTGCCTCTTTAGCTTACTTGCAGGTTCATGGCTGGTTATACGATGAGTCCCCTAATATGGGCTCTAATACGGGTCATAATAGTAGTTAACCTACAGTACTTATAACTCCACCTATAACTACCCATGAACCTCCAAGTAGGTACTGGGTAGGTAACAATTGAATTTTCTGGGGTTTAAGATCTAACCCTACAATAACGCCACACTTCCCAGCAAGCCCAATGGCCTGTAATTCTTGAGCAAGGCTTAAGTTTTTGGGGCATGAACATCTATAATGTAGGGTTTTGATAATTACCTGTATTGTTTTGGGGGCTCCGTATTATTATAGCATTAATGGGCCCCAAAACCTTCTTCTAATTATTATGGCCCCTACATTATTTTTCCTGAATTAAGAAGTGTTGGGCTCTCTGAGTGCCTCTTAAGCGGGATGGTCGGAAGATGTCAAGCGGATGCGTGCAAGGGCTTTTCACGTGCTGCTTGCTGCCCAAGCCGCGCCCTAACCTTTCGAGGGTCATATCCTCAGACACCCAAAACCCTAAGCCCTAAAAGCCCTAAGCCCTAAATTTCATAGAAGCTTTAAACCCTAAAGGCCCCAAACCCAAAAAGCCCCAAACCCAAAAAGCCCTAAGCCCGAAAACGCCTTAAGCCTCTGCCAGGACCAGCGGGCCTCGCCTGGGAAAGACGCTGCCGCTGAACAGGCTGGCACACAGGTCGCCGATGCCATTGACCCATGGCAGAAAATCTTGGTTTTGGGGTTTAGGGTTTAGGGTTTAGGGTGACCCATGGCAGAAATTCTTGGTTTTGGGGTTTAGGGTTTAGGGTTTAGGGTGACCCCATGGCAGAAAATCTTGGTTTGGGGTTTTGGGTTTGGGGTGACCCATGGCAGAAAATCTGGAAGGCCTTGGGGTTTAGGGGTTTTGGATTTAGGCTTTACGGTTTGGGCTTTGGGGGGGGTGTTAGGCTTGAGGGGTTTAGGCTTTCGGGCTTGGGGTTGAAGAAACCCTCCTTGGGAATAACCCAAGCAACCGTTCAGGGCCTTAATCCCTGAAGTCTAAATCCCTAAGGCCTGAAGCCCCTAATCCAAAATCTGGGCTCTTGTTAAGGAGTCGAACACAAGCTACCAGAATAGGGATCTATGGCAAAGAGCCGGCTTTTCTATAGTAACTTACGTTAAATCTCAATTCCTGAACAAGAGCCCAGTAATCCTTGAATCTGGTGACGGAGGGAGCATTTTCGGCCCAGGACACATCAGCGGGAAGGCCTGCTTCGAAGATGCTCGGCCAAAATACGCAGCATCCAAAGGTGGTGTCAGATTCAGTATTTCGGGGTCCGGTTCTTGAGGATTTGGGGACGTCAGGCTTTATACTTTTATCGGTTCAGACGGTTTAGGGCTGTAGGACTTTAGGAATGTAGGGAGGCTTTGCAGGTTCGGGCCGGGTACAAGATAGAGTTTAGCCGTAAACCCTAAACCCGATATGGTTGAACACCTCGACCTGCCAACCTGCTGCAAACTAGCTCAGCCTGTAGCTACTATAACGGTCCTTTAAGTGAACTGCAGGGGTCCTTTTAAGGGTCCCATTTCGTTTGAGGGTTGCTTTAAGGGCACAATTAAATTAGGGCTAAACCCTAAACCTTAAACCCCTAAACCTAAAACCTTAAACCCTCAACCTTAAACAAAAACCCTGAACCCTAAACCCTAAACCCGTTTATATACTTCTTTTGCGGGTGTAGGCTGAACGGTGAGTTATGCCTGCTGAAGACCTTCAGTTCCGAGTTCCTGAGCCGACGCACCAAAAGGCCGAAACTCTTCAGCTGAGAAGTGTAGTAGCGGGGCCCGGGGCCTTAGTAATCAGAATAGGGGGTTCCTTTAAAGGGATCCTTAAAGCTATAATAGGGTTCTATAGCAGGGGCCTTAATATTTAGAATAGGGGGCCTTAATAGTTAGGATAGGGGGCCTTAATAATTAGAATAGGGGGTTCCTTTAAAGGGATCCGTAAAGAGTTCAATTATATAATAGGATTCTATAGCAGGGGCTTTAATATTTAGAATAGGGGGGTTCCTTTAAAGGGATCCTTCAAGGGTTCAAAAAGGGATCTATAATAGGTTCTATAGCAGGGGCCTTAATAATTCGAATAGGGGGTGGGTTCTATAGCAGGGCCTTCATAATTCGACTAGGGTTTTGGGGCGCATGATACTATAATTATAATAAGGAGCCCCCCCAAAAATAG